ACGTTTTAATTCATTATTCTCTCAAACCTTGTATCAATCCTCGTAAATCCGGCTTGCGATTTTTACTCAACATACATTATCTTTATTACAAGAAGAAAACCTTGTAAGATATTAGAACCTATAGTTATTTCTTTTTTTATATATATACAAATATGTGTATTGTATAGAACCCCGACCACAACACCGAAACAGCGACTCGCACTCATTAGACTGATACTGCCAATTATGCAAATCCAGGTAATTAGGCTACTATTGTTTTCGTGGCAGTATAAATATGACCAATCTGATTTTATTCTTCACCTGACTCTGAAGATGACTTCCACTCAGGTTGTCGAAACGTCAGTCGCATCAAACAGTGTTCTCATGACTACATCTACCAGGATGATCATAATACTTCCATTAACACAAATAAGCTAAGTATACTGACATATGGGTTGTATACTAATATACTTTATATTTATCATATGCTTATATTTATTATATTTAAAAGACAAAGAAATACATTGACTTGCCAAATTTCAGTCCATACAAAAATTCCCACAAAAATTGATTTTTTTCGTTAGAAATTGTGTTACAAGTTAACTTTAAAAAAAGGCCATATATGTAACATAGATTTTTAGACCTCTTTTTAAATCAAAAGGTAAAGTCCCGTGCAAAATGTTAGGGTTTTGTATAATTCTTCAATAAACATGATTTTAARATTTATGAAATGTGTTTTTGTCACTCGGTAAAGATCTATATGTTAAGTGTATGYTACATCGAGTGKCTAGCCAACGAGAGGTCAGTGTTTCTAGTACCGCGAGAACCCAACTGAGGCAGATTTTTTAATCTGCTTATACACTCGATGTAGCATACACTTAACATATGATTTTAAAAGTTATTCAGCGGTTTTGGTTTCGCGCGCAYATATTGYGGGCTCAAATTGGACGCTTAAAAGTAGACAGTCACCTTAATATTAGCACTGTATTCACTGATATATAAACTAGAGGCGTAGCCTCTTATTGTATATATTACTTAACAAACGTCTAGGTTAGTTCCTTTGTSATAAAAGTTAATTTGTCCAAAAAAATCCAAATTAAAATTTATGCAAATGRACATGATTCTATATCCGGCATAATTATAATTTTTTTCATGGTCATRATTTCTATTATGTTTTCCTCATGAAWTATTAATGAGGTTGTTAATACATATTTGTCTCATTATCAYGAGACTCAGGRACACCTGTACGAARARGTTCACGGTGTCATTTGTCTTGTGTTGTCAATCCTGGGCATTGCCAATAGACGACAGTTCCTGGTAAAGATTTGGTTCATTAGACGTACAAGGTGTTTCTAAACGATRGACTTGACAGCGTTTTGATCACGAGGAAACGTTGCAATTGGACAGCTTCTTCATACCMAGGAGCCGAACTTGATGTTTGTCTAAATCCCGATTTCATTCCATTACTTTTGTGTTTTCCATTTTCTATTAAGAAATAAGCAGCCATTATCTATGAGTTTAAAACAGTCTTCTCAGTGCATAGAGCAGGTGCATATTAGCTTCGTCTCTTGTTAGATTAATCAAGATGGTGGCTGTTTCATTGTTATTCACATTTCAAGWGATTTTGCATGAGTCACATGGTTGCAAACACTCTATTGGTTTATTGTTGTGCTGTTATATGAAAATGGCGCTATCTTCGGGTACCAGACAAAACTTACTTAATTCAATAAAAACACCAAATGACCCCAAGGAATACAATGGAACAAAGATAATAAATGACCCCAAGGAATACAATGAAACAAAAATAATAAATGAACCCAAGGAATACAATGGAACAAAGATAATAATTAGGGTACAATAGGTCTGCGCTACATGCAAAAGGACACTAGAAAAGACACTCAAAGGAAGCTTAGCATTAATTTGTTAATAGTAGTTTTTACACATACCATTGACTTTGATCTTTGAACTTCAGCACGTTAAGAAACAGAGACTACCAATTTTGCACCCATGACACCAATAAATATCAAATCTTTTAATAAAAAAGATACAATAACCAATTT